CAGTTGTCTTGTGTTTTATATTCCATATAAAGCGGTACTGTGTTTTATAGCTTGAATAAATTAATAGAGACTGTTTCCAGTAATAGTGCACTCCAAGATGTTTATGTATCACCCTAGCAGTATGGGAAGCAGCTTATCACGTTAATTTCCCCCTAGACTTGAGTTTAATGAATACAGTGCTCAAGGTGGTAGGTAAGACGTGTCATCTCTCCTTGCAAAAGTATGAGACACAGCAGAGTTTTGGTTACGCGACTGTTAGCCTGTAGCTCACCTATGGGTTAATTGCTTCGGAAGAAACATTGTTGCAGGTATAGTGATCCCTAGCGGATATCAACTTTAATTAGAAATGTTGTTTTTCTATATCTAAGAGACAACAAATATTGTACTAATTAAATAAAATTTGTACAGCAATATGTTTCTCTTGAATTTTTAAAAATTCTCTTAGATTAAAGTTATATGAACAAGTCTACTACATATTATTGAAGCGTGAAACATTCAATTTGCTAGGGTTTAGATATAAAACAATTTAAAATTGTAATGAGCTACAATTTTATTCCTCAAATTGGTTAACCATGAATAATCCTGAATATTTCTCGAATGGATAAATGCTGGTATTACATAATAATTATGTGACGAAACCATGTAAATTAATAATATACTTTAGTTTTTTATTTTTTTTTTTTCGTATAAAACACAATTTAAATTCAGTGAAACTTTTAAAAATCGCGCACTTATTCACTTCAGTTGAAGTTTTTCAGGAAAAAAGAAAATGAAACAAGGAGAAAAAGGAATAAAGATTTTTGTTTTTTTTTTAAATCATTTAAAACTTTAATAGTTTAAAATTAATTCTTATTATCTTGACAGGATTTCTTTTTAAACGACTTCAATTTATAAGATGATACCAGGACCAAAATAATTTTTTTGTCTTATTTTTCAAATAGTGTGTACAATGAACCGAAAAAGTGCTGAAAGTAAAAAAAAAAATTTTTTTTTCTTTTACACTACTTGGCAATTGTATTTCGTTGATATCAGATTTTTTTTTGAAGAAAAATGAAAAAAAAAAAAATTATATTGCAGCTATTAATATAGAACCATAGCTGATAATGCACGTACGAAAAAAAAAACATCTGGGAAAGTTGGTTTTTTTTAGTAAGCAAGGATTTTTATTTTTTTATGAAAAATATACAAAAAATTTTTAATATACAAGCAGTTGTAATTTAAAATTATTAAGAGTTTCAAAAATATTTTCTATTAAAATTTTCGGATATCTACCTTAAGTACAAGACTATAGTCAGTTGCAGATTATGAAAAAAATTAAAATTTGTTTTTTAAGAAAAAAAAGATCAAAAATTTTTTCAAATTTTCTTAAAATTTTATGAAAAGTTTTTTTAAAATTCATGCCATTTAAAATTTTTGTAAATGGTTATGACTAATGGTAATGCAAGGAATAAACTTTGAAGAATTACAAAATTTGCTTTAGTCTCATTTAAATTATTTTATAAAAAATTTCTGACAAAAATTTATTATTTTGCTTTGACTTTCGGGTCAAATACCAAAGAAGAAAAAGAATCATATGCAAATCTCTTAAAATTTATAACTTACTTGGTATTGGTTTTTGTTTCCACAAAACAAAAAAAAACAAAATTGTCACTATGAAAAATTTTTTTTACAAAATTCGTTGTCACCAACATGTCAATTTTGATTATTTTCATTAAAAAATTGATAAATTTCTAAAATGTCAACAAATCAAACGGTATAATGTATTGAATTTTATATGGAAATAATAAATAATGTTAAATTGTCATCATATCCTGGATTTGAATTTTACATATAGTCTGTATTATGTATGGGGATTTTTTTTTTTTTCAAATTTTAAAATATATTGCATTCTATTCTAAATTTTTTTAACAAATTACATACATAGAGAGTGTTCAACTGATAAATGGTCTCAATAATAATTATAAGATGTGATTTTACTCTAAAATATTAAAAATTTTAGTATTTATTCTAAATGTAAAATTTCTATCTCAACCCAATTCAAAAGTGGAGAAATGCTGGCTTGTTCACTCGTAAGAATATCGTTATGTAGTGGTAATAGATGCTATAAATCATAGGCTATCAAGTGTGTAAAGTGTATTTCTTCTGAGGGCTAGTAAACGTCTGTTCGCAAGAAGAGTAAACGACTTAAACTACTCATCCAGCACTGGCTGTTCGGCATCACAATTGTTTTAGACAGGGACATCTTTAATCGTTCGAGAAATTCTGCCTAACTCTCTTAAACATATCTCCGGCTTTATAGTTTGAACGGGGATATAATAGATAGGAGCGTGAGGAGGCTACAATAAGTCAGGAATGGTTGCGGTGGCTCGGGGGGTTCTTCTGCCCCAATCGGTTACCTTGAAATTTTCAATCTAGATTACTTATCGTAAAATATTCGACTCCTATACTTCTCGACTCAATTAATACTAAATTTACAAAATAGAAAAAAATTTTATATTATATGTAGTATGACATTAAACCGGTATCTAAATATTTTACTTGAAAATGCCTTTACTCTATTTTGGACTAGATGATTACTCCATTTCCTTAGGTACACAATTTGAGCAGAATATATCCAGATTTTTTTTTTAATTGATTCAATTGAATTGAATATGGAATAAAATTATTTTGTTTTATTTAGAATAGTTAATTATGAGAATGTAAATAAATATTTATTAAAATTGAATCTCTTGTAGGAGTCAGCATATTGAGAGAATCAAAATGGATTTTGATCTTGCAATTCAAAACCAGAACACAAAAAAAATTGAAGATTTTTGAAAATTTCAATGAAATTTTTTCAAAAAATTTACAAATATTTACCTAAATATTTTAGTCTAGTAAATTTTATTAAATACCCTGTAGTCATCATTGTATTTATATTATATTTGTACATAATAAATGTGTATAACAATATTTATTTTATATGCATATTTTTTAGTATAATATTTTTTGTTATAATTTCTAGCGAAAAATTCTTCTGGGAAAATTTTTAGACAGCTGTCAGAAATGCTCCATTAATATTTTGTTAGTGCAGTGATTTGAAATTGAAAAAAAGAAAAAACAAATATTTTCTATATTTAAATCCTTTTTATAACAATAAATTTTATATTTTTTTAAATGCATACAAAATGCATACACAATATTCGAAAGATGAAAAATTTTTTTTTATTGTACTAAATTCATGTTTTCATACTTTAAACCCAAATGTATATTTATTTGTACAGGATTAACTTCTTCTATATTACGATTAAAATAATAATTTATTTTGTTGTTATTATATATGTAAGTATATGTGTATATAATATTATATGCACTTCAATATAAAATTGTAATATAAATTTTCAATTTGTTCATTGCACTTATTCCTTTAAATTCTTTCAAATTGCAATAGTGTATAGGGTTAGAGATTTTGGAAAAAGAACAAAAAAGTATAAAAGAAATGAGGGAAGAAACGCTGTTACTGCAATTTATCTTAATCTATCATACTATCACTGATATACCATGGTGCAATGAATTTTCGCTTGTTTTTTTTTGTGTAAAGGATAATATTTTATTATTTGGTTTAAGAGCGAGCATGAAGAAAACTAATTTTATTTATTGTGGCAAAAACGCAAAAAACTAAGAAAATAAGAAAAACAATAAGAAAAATAAAGAAAATCGATTTTCTATTTTTTGTTTTTGACTTTAAAAAATGTTTATTATAAAGTTCATGAAATTCAGTAATTTTTAGTGAATAAAATATTAAAGAAAGAAAAGATTAAGTATAGAGGATAGTTACATAAACTTACTGAAGGATAAATTGAGTACTTATTATTGTGATAACACGAAACGTGTGGTGTTTTTTTGTTATTTATTCGTTTGTAATAAGCAAACTACTTTAAGTTGAAGAATATTGTGAGGTTTGATATTATAATAAGATTTTGGAATAAAATGTTAAGTTTTTTCAAACGCAATTTTATTTCATTGCACTAGTAAAGGAATTTGCAAGGTATCAAATTTGCTTTTCATATTAAAGTTGTGGACACAGAAAAAATTATGCGAACGTTTTCAATTTAATGACCTGTTAAATGTTTAGCTTTTTTAAAATATGATAATTTTTGCAGAAATAAGCAGTAATCTAGAGAATATTGGTAATTGTTTAATTGTATACAATACTTTAAGGATGAAAAATATGCTTTATGCTTTTGTTAATTGCTTTATGCTTTACTTGATACAAATTTTATGTATCTAGCTACCCTAGCTAGCTACAAATTATTTTCCAATTAAAAATAAAAAATTACAAAAAATTCTTTTATTTTTTTGAAAAAATTTTAATTTGAACAAAAAGCTAATAAAAAATCTGTGTGCTAATTTAATCCCTATTGATTAATTTGCAAAAATTGAAAATAAAAATAAAAATTGCCTGCTTATAGGGGCAATATTTTGATAGGCACTTTATATTGCCAATTTATTTATTAAAATCCATAAATATTATTTAAAATTTATGTAAATATATTAGAAACCATAGCTTCAACACAAATTTTTAAAAATTAATTATTTTTTACAAAAAAAAAAAAAAAAAAAAATTTTTATAAAATAATAGAATTTATTGTACCTACTGCAATCTTAAAAGTATATGATATACCTTACAAAAAAATATTATTTTTATGTTCATAGTGCATATTATATTACAGCAATACATTCATATAAGAATTTTTATAAAATATAATATTATAAACTCAATTGGTATGCGAACGATTCTGTTATATAAAATCTTTTAAAATATAACATATTTTATTCAATATTATTCTTATATATATTCATCATACTCTTGATATTACTACATATGCTTAATATATTTATCATTTATATACATATACATAAATATGAATAATATCGATTTTATGTTATATATATATACATATATATATATATTCAATTCAATTTTAATAAAAAACAAATTTCTTTTTTTTTACTTACAGCTCTTTTAGCCGGAACTTTAAGGACTTATCAAAGAGCAGGATGTGACTCAGAACAATTATCATTAAGTTGCCCAAGAGGGACCAGTATATCAATTGAGTTAGCACAATATGGGCGAGCTGGAGGTAATTTTATTCTTTTTATTATTACTTTTTTTTTTTTTTGTATATTCATAAAGCATTTTATTATATTGTTATTTTAGTATAAATAATCAAAATGAAAATTTTCACCCTCACCAATCTTCTCGTTCCATTAATTTTCTAAAACATAATGTTATGTTTTACATATAAAAATATTTTTTTTGGTAGAAAATATATAGGAAATTTAATCTATAATATCCTTTTAAGATTTTTTAAGGAAAATTCTTTATACAAAAATAATCATACGCAATTTCCTTCCCTTCTCGCAAATAGGTAATCGTGTCTGTGTCCAAAAGATAAAATTCTATTGTTATAATTCTTTTTTGAATAAAAATTCATTTTATTATTATAATAAACATATAAAAATAATAAACTGTATATTTTATTCCCTAATATACATATATTTGCCTATATACCGTTTGTGTATATATTTTAAATTCTTTACTGGAATTTAATACTTTTAAAAATAATAAATAAAAAAAAAAAAATAAAAAAAAAAGGATATATTGAAAAACATTTTTTTATATCCTTTTTCTTTAAATTTTTTTCCTATTTTTGTTATTCGAGTAAATATACACACTGTTATACATAGTGTTATACATAGATGAATTTCTTTATATATTTTCTACCAAAAAAAAATTTATTGTATAACTTCACCTTTTTTTTTTTTTTTTGACAATAATGTGATCCTGGCATTTTGTACTTATTTCTCTCTTTTTTTTTTCTGTTCTATGCTTTTTTTTTTATATTCATTTTGTTTTTGGGTACACACCAAAAATATATATATTGTGTCTACAAAAAGATCTAAGTGATAACAGTTTATGTCCTCCTTTATCTGATGAAGAAACAACTGTTGGTTCAGACGGTGTTGTACATAGTAAAACAGAAATTGAAGTTAAACCACCGGAGAGTTGTCAATGGGAGCATGGATTACAGGTTAGTACATTTAATAATATAATATATGTGTATATAACATGTAAGTTGTTTAATATATAGGGGATAAGATAAATTTGATAAGAAAACTAAATAAATGTAAAGCTATATAGGAAATAAGTATATAATATTATGTTCTAATGTACAGTAAGCCGCAACAATTGCCTTATATCTTAAGTAATAAAAACCATAAACACAATATAACATTATTATATTGTTATAATAATACTGTAACATTGTATATACACTAGTATAACATGACATTTTTACACACCTATTAAAATACATGCATAATTTTTTTGTATAAAAAAAATTTTATGTTTTTTAAATAAAATAAAAAAAAAAAAATTTTTATATATTTTGTAATAAGGACTCGGTTTCTTTTTTTTAATAATGCACATATATACTAGCACACTTATACACACACATATGTACATATTTTACATTTAATCGTATTTTTTGATGAATAGGTTTTTTTTTTGGTTGTTGTCTTTTTATTTTTTGTAAAAAATTAAAAAATTTTAATATTTTTTTTTTAAAAATAATTTTTTTGAATAAAATTTTGAATTATGTTTTAATAAAATTGAATTTATGTTGATAAAATACTTATTCTTTGAGTACTAAAATGGCAGTTCTTATATACCCCAAAATCTTCTTAAATGTTGAGATTTTATTGCAGTACATTTACAATCTCTTATATTTTACAAGCTAAATATCAAATAAAAGTTTATCAAAGAATAATAATTTTTTGAAAATTTTTCGATTGAATTATTTTTATATTTTTTAAAACAAGTGAATAAAGTACGTAGTAAAGAACAAGTACGAAATTACTTGAAATTATCTATGAAAAATTCTCTCTCATGACAGAGAGATTTTTATAGACGCACGTGTAATATTATTTCAGAGTATAATAAATGTGTTATTGATTATGAATTTGGGACGAAGCATTTTAAGCTAAAAATTATGTAAAATTTGCGTATAATATGAGAATTTTAGCCGAGAGGTTGACTAGCAACTTGAGTGTTTTGTAATATTTTCTAATTTTCAATTGGATTTAATCGTCAAACATCAGTTCGAGTAGGTAGTTGTCACAAACCTTTAAAAATTATTTTGTATATAAACCAAACTACTCCAATAAAATATTGTAAAGGTTTTATGAATTTCTACTGCATAGCTGCTCCTAAAACAATATTGTATTCCCATTTTCAAAAATAAAATATTGTCATATCCCGAAATCCATTTAAACTGAATTGATCAAAATTCTTATGCCTATATGGGAATAGTTAGAGAAATTCCTAGAAAGATTTTTTAAAAAAAGGTTAACAACAAAATTATATTGATCCTTTTTCACTTGTAATATGATTGTTGGAAAATATTCGTACTGGCATAACAGAATTGACAGGATCAAATCAATGTTTTTCTCGCTTGTAGAGCATTTGAACAAAAATTTTTATAATTTTTCAGAATTCTACAATATAAAATTTAAAATATATCACACCGTCCTTGTTCAAATTTCTCACATGATAAATTCTTATGCATATACTTCTGAAATTCAGAACATTCTATCCTATGACTTTCCTTTTACCCTCTCTTTTCAATGTATTATGTAGCATACTACCTTATGTACATGATATGAGTTTATCCTCTTTTTTACAGAGCATGAAATGTTTACCCAACAATTATATTATAGGAAAGGACTTTTAAATTTTTAATATTAAATTGTTTTGTCTTAGCAAACATACTCAGTCGCTTTTTAATTTGAATCTTTTCATTAAATATTTGTAAAGGTCAAACATAAAATATCAATGTACAAAAAATTTGAAAGTAAAAATAGCTTGAGGCTATTTGGAATACTGTGAGGATTCGCAGGAATATAAAGGTTATAATTTACAAATATCTATCTATTTTTAATTCCTTTGTAATTTTAGAAAATTTTTTTTCTATAATTGTGTTTTTCCATAAAAATATAATTATGATAGTATGAGACAACAAACGTACTAAATTCCTTCTATTATATTGAAAATTTTACGATATTGTGTTGATGATCTTTATGTAATGTCGCGACGCTAATTTGAATAAAAGAAAAACCAAAAGAAAATCAAAATAAAAAAAAAAAACAAATAATAAAATATGAATAGAAATTCGATGATGATTGCCACTATTCACGGTAATTTATAAGAAAAACACAAAATGAATGTCCTTTCAATAATAAATTTTTTCTGATTGCTTTTTATTATTTGCGTTCTTCTATTTGTTGCCATATTTTATATTAAAAGGATATTTAAAATATAAAGGTAAATAATGCGTAAAATATAAATCAATTATGTAAATAATCGTCTGGAAAATAAATCCTGCATATTATAATATTCATATTGTTTTTCTTTTATTAAACTTTTTTTTTATTATTTGATTGCAAATTAGAGAGACCAGGGAAAGAGGATAAATAATAAAATATTTTTGTAGAAAATATTGAAATTTAAAAGATGGTAATTGAAAAGTCTTAAATAATAATAAAATAATTCCAGTAATTATGAAAACTGGAACTCAACAATTATCTTAGATAATGAAATTTGGATGTCGACAAGAAATTTATGATTCTATCGTGACTTATGTTTGCAATTATAATATTATACAATAATAAAATCGTGTTCTTTTAAAACTTAAAGCTGAAAGCTCAAGTAAGGGACGCGGATTACGCACAGATTTTCTGATTTCAGAAATTAATCCTAAAATTGTTCTAAATTATTAATAGGAGCATGAAAACTTAATTAAATTCAATAGATTTTTTTATTAAATTTGCATATACCAAGTAATTATTTAAAATTTTTAATTTACTTATTAGACATCCCGATTGAGTGACAAATCTTTTCCCTCAATTCTAAAACTTTTTCGTCCTATTCTCACAATCCAAATTATAGAATATAGAAAGGAAGAAGAGGAGCAAGAAATCAAAATTGAATTTGAAAAAAAATAAAATGAAATTATTTTTTATTTTCGTTGCTAATTTTGTATTTTTTTAATAGGAGTGGAAAATTTTTCATGTTAGCGATTTGTGATGAAAATTTCAAGAATAAACCAATTATAATAAAAAAATAAAATTTATAATATAGAAATTCCATCTGTTTAAAAATCTTTCTGAAGTCAGAAAAGAAAGAAAAAAATTGTCTAGTCTAGAAGTTTATTGTACCATGTTTACTCAATGGGTTCTTTCTTTTATTTTAAAACCTTTTATAGCTCTATCAAATTTTATTTTATCTATATTTGCTTTACATACATACTTACCTATATGGGAAATTAAATAAAATAAATTCAAAATATTTTTATTTATTTATTTTTTTTTTAAATGGTGAGAAAATTGTGAAAATTGAAATTGTTATCATTGTCTGCAATCTAGTTTTATTTTTCTAATTTTATTAAAAGGGTGATGATCTTAAGAAATAAATAATTGTTTAAGAAAAAGAATTGCTTTAAGGATTTTCTATACCATATATCTTGTTCCTTTAGAAGATTTGAAATTAAAAGAAAAATTTTCTATTTTTTTTTCTTAGGAAATCTTAAATCTAAGATAAAATTTGGATATTTGAAAATTTGATTTATATAGATATAGACTATTGTAAATAAATATTTTGATATTTTAACTAGATTATAAAAACCGAAAAAAAAAATAGATCAAACAGGTGTAAAGTGTCATATTATTATTGTTTCTGTTGCCTATGGCCTGAACCCTTTAGTGAAAGATTAAATTTTAAAGATTCATGCAGACATTGTTAAAAATGCTTAAGATATACGTAAATAGCTATATCTAAAAATCTTGTCTACAAAATTTTAATAATCTTTACGAGTATTAAATATTTAAGTTGTAATAATGTAAAACATCAAAATATTGGCAGAATCTGTGAATTTCCAGTGATCACAAAAAACACTTAAAATCGCTCTACCTCTTCCAGTTTAGCCAGAAAACGTTTTAAAAGTTTTCCAAAAGATTTATAAATCTCCAAAAATATTTTTGCTACAGCCTATATCAGAATTTCAATTGGATAATGAGATTTTAAGATCAAGCTAAGAATATGAATTCTATAATATTAAGTAATTGGCAATTTTATTATTGAGTATTTCTATAAATCTACGTATATACAGGTGATTTGGATTTTTTCGAATATTTTAACAGGGTGAGGGTCCCAAAAGTAATGTCGTAGTTATAGTTGGTGGATACCTTACAATTTCCCGCAAAAATATGTCGAATAAATTTCTACATTAAAATTGGATCTAAAGCTATTTAAAAATGTCTATCTTTTTCAACTTAGAGTTATTTCAATTAGTATTACAGAACAGCATGACTTTCTCTATCAAATGTGCTATCAAAATTGAAATATTTTTGAAATATACATACATACATGAAAAAATTGCATACTTATGGGTATGCAATTTTTATTAATAAAATTATTGATCAAGACTCTTTATCTAATGACGTTTTAAAACCATGTAGTTTATTTTGAATTTTCATTTACTCACATTACACACATTACTCACAATTACTCATATTACTCACATTTACTCACATCACTTTTAAGACAATAAGTTACCTATATTTTAAAACTTTATTTGGTTTTAAAAGAATATTTTTTAAAGTATATATACACTTAAACTCTTCTTGATTTATATAAAAATTTTTCTTATCTATTCGTTGTATACGTACATTGACATATTGAATTTAAGTATCATCAAAATTTATTATACTTAACGATTATATAAGTAATTCAAGGTATACCATTGAAGTATTAAAATACTATTGAGTATAATAAATCCTTTTATCACCATTATTCGCTATCAACTTTCAATAAATCGAAAAATCATTTCCAAACTTTAAAGCAATTACGCTCAATCTAAAAAAAAGAAAAAAAATAGAATTTCCTTCAAGTACATTATATAGTATAGCTGTAGTTAAAGTAAAATTGTGTAAGTATTTTTGAATCACAAATTACCGTATCTTATAAATTGAACCT